TCAGAGCAACAGAATTTATGTTCACAGACCTTGAAAAGACACTGCTTGGGGACAGAAGTAGACCATAGACGAGGCTACTCTGAGAGTGGGGGCAATATCGAAATATAGCCCCTGGGGTGCAAGGAAATGAAAAAATAAGGATTCTCTTCGAACACAACAAACTAATCATGAAGAGGTTAGGCACTAGGGGCCGAGGAGATAGCTCAGTTGTTAAAGTGTAAGGACCAGGGTGTGGATCCCCAGAACCCACATGAAACTCCTAGTAGATGTGGTGGGCCACTGGTATTTCAGCTTTGAAAGGCAGAATCAGGATTCCCCAGAGAAAGCTGGCTGGTGAGATTAGTCATATCAGTGAGCTCTGGGTTTGATTGAGAGACCTTGCCTCAATAAGGTAAAAGAGTGATGGAGGACGATTCCTACATCAAGCTTGGGTGTCCACATGCAGACACACACAAGAGCATGCAGACCTATGCACATGTACTCCCCACCCTATGAAGGTGGAAAAAGAAAAAAAGAAGGAAGTTAGATACTAGAAGTCACTTCGTTGTCTGCTGTGATCTAGGGTACATGTCTCTCTGGTGACATATTTAGAATGTGTCATTCCAACGTCCCTCAAGTTCTCTCCATGCCCTGGATGGAGTCCTCAGGTATCTGAGGAGTCCTGAGGAAATTCAGTCCCCACTCAACACCCCCTTCTACATGTCCATCTAACATTATTCTTTTTATTTATTTTTTAAATTTTATGTGTACAAGTGTTTTGCCTACATGTATAAGTACATCAGTGTTGTGCAGTGCCCATGGAGACCAGAAGATGGTATTGGATCCACCATGTGGGTTCTGGGACTTGAACCCGGGTCTTCTGCAGGAGCAGCCAGTGCTCTTAACAGCTAAGCCATCTCTCCAGCCCCAATATGAAATCATTCTTGACCAACCTTTTCTAGCCACATGCTGTGGGCCCTGACATTTAACCTGTCAGCCTTCAGGTCCCTTATCTACCTGGTTTTGAAGAGTTGGTATGAGGGTGAAATGAGAGGAAGAAGGAAGCTTGTTTGCAGTAGGCACAAGATAGATGAAATAGAATACTTTTAATACTCAAAACCTGTATTAGTTACTTCTCCCGTAACTGCATCCAAATACCTGACAGAAACAATTTAAGGGAGGGAGGTTAATTTTGATTCAGTTTCAGGGGGAGCAGTCCAGCATGGTGGTTGGAGTGTGTCATAGCAGCAGAAATGTGGAATGGCTTGTTCACATGGCAGGGTTGTTTTACAGCTGGACCTCAAGAGCCTACCCCGTGATGTACCTCCTACTAGGTCCCACCTCTGAAAGTTTCAGCACTACCAGCATAGGTCCAAGTGTTTCAACACAAGACCTAAACTGTAACAAAGCCCCACTGCAGTAAGCCTCCTGTCCACAAGGGGCAGCCTTCTAAAGGAACCACTCCTGTCAAATATCTATTACTAAACAGCTCTTCTGCTCCTTCATTGGCCCCAGCCCCTAGTAGATAGGACTCAGGCTTTGTGATGATTTGGAAGCCATCCCAAATTGATCCTTACTGGCTGTTAGTTACTCTGGTTGCTGACTTTTACCAACAGAAGTCCTGCGAGTTTTACACCTACTAGGAATCTGCAAACTTTTTCTGTATGGAGTAAGAATATTTTAAGTTTTCTGAATTATCCTTTATCTACAAAACCAAGACATGGGACAAATCTAACCTCTTGCCTAATTTTATACAGACCTCAAGGTAACAGTAATTTTTTAATTTTTAAAAAATGTTTATTGGGTGGGCTGGAGAGATTCCTCAGTGGTTAAGAACACTGGTTGTTCTTGCAGAACACCCGGGTTCAAATCCCAGCACCTACATGGCAGCTAACAACTGTCCATAACTCCAGTCCCAGGGGATCCGACAGCCTCTTCTGACCTCCACAGGCATTGCACGACCCGGGTGCACTTACCTGCATGCAGGCAATACACGCATACACATAAAATAAAAGTAATAAACATGTTTATTTTTATTTTATGTGTATGCGTGTTTTGCCTGCATGTTAGTGCACCACATGCATGCAATGCCTGAGGAGGACAGAAGAGAGTGTGAACAAAAAAGTTCCCAGAAAATCCTGCATCTTGAACTTCCTGCAAGGCTAACTGATAAGCTCTCTGGAGACTGTGGAGAGTCCAGAATGTTGTAGGTCCAGAGCCTAATTACCACTTATCTCAGGCTACCTTTAGCCCCCAGATAGCCTTTTCTTTACCCATCTATTTCTGACCTAACATCTCGTGACTAACAGATAAAAATCTTTTGGAATGTATTAACTTAGTGGACCACCAGGTCTCACCAATCAAAAAGCTAAGAATGCCATCAGATAGCATCTGAGACCTATAGTAAAAAACCACCCACATTACCATGACCTGCATACTGAATGTATCTGAAAAGTGTCTTGATTTGTGACTTTTCTTTATTTTATTACTATAAAAATGTAATGAAACTGTTACCATACTGGAACATAGAATTGGGGGCAACCTGAATCCGTGTTCCCAGGCCATGGTCACTCATATTTGGCTCCAGAATAAACTATCTCTTGTCCCCTTTGAGGTGAGAGTTGTGCTTTTGCATCAACAAGAGTGTCCAATCCCTTGAAACTGGAGTTACTGTTGTTAGCTGCCATGTGGATTCTGGGAACTAAACCCTTGTCTTCTGCAAGAACAGCAAGTGTCTTAACCACTGAACCATTTCTCCAGCCCTTAACAGTAGCTTTTATGCTCTTAAAATAGTTGGTTTTGTGTGGGTGGGTAGTACACATGTGTGTGAAGACCAGAGATCACGTTGGCTCTTTACTTAGTCACTACCCACCATTGTTGTTGTGTTGAGGCTTGCCAAACAGGCTAGGTTGGCCGAGTGGGAAGCATCACGCTTTTCTTAACTGGGTTCTGGAGACCAAACTCAGGTCCTTGTGCTTGCAATATATTCTAGTTTGCTTTCTGTTGCTGTGATAAACACCATGGCCAAAAGCTACTTGGGGAGGAAAGAGTTTATCTCAGCTTACAGGTCCACCACTAAGGGACACCAGGGCAAGAATTCAAGATAGGAGCCTGAAAGAGTCCATGGAGGAGGAACACTGCTTGCTGGCTTGCTTCCAGGCTCATGTTCAGCTATCTTTCTTTTTAAAAAATATTTTATTATTTTTATTTTGTGTGTATAAGTGTATTGCTTTCATATAGGGTAGGTGGACCCATGTTGTGCAAAGCCAGCAGAGGCCAGAAGAGGGCATCAGATCCCATGGAACTGGAGTTACAGAATGTTGTGAGCCACCATGTGGGTGCTGGGATTGAACCCAGGTCCTCTGCAAGAGCAGCCAGTGCTCTTAACCACTGAGCCATCTCTCCAGCCCCCAGTTACCTTTCTTGTACAGCCCAGGCCCACCTGCTTAGGGATAGCACTGCCCACAGTGGGCGGGCTCTCCTACATCAATTAGCAAACCAGAAAATGTCCCATAGACATGTCCATAGGCCAATCTGTTGGAGGTCATTATTCAGTTAAGGGTCCCTCTTCCCAGGTGTGTCAAGTTGATAAGCCATCACATAAGATAAGCACTTTACTGACTGAGCTATTGCCCCAGCTCCTAAAATGGTTGATTTTTACAAACCAGGTGAAACTGAATGCAGTGACTCATACCTATAACCCTAGAATTCACGAGTCTTAGACAGAATTGTCACGAGTTCAAGGCCAGCCTGAGCTATGAGACTTTGTCTCAAAAATAAACAAAAGTGAAATGTAAGAATGTGTCACTTGTAACATGAGAATTGAAGTTCGAGTTTCATATCAAACGAGAAGGTGCAGGGAACAGCCCTGCTCATTTATCAAGTGTGAGCTGTGGGATTGGGTGATCAGTTGTGGCAGAAGTAATATGACTGAAATGTTTCTCATCTTGTCCTTTGAGAAAATTTTGGAAATCCCTATGAAACAAATAATGGTAAGAATGAAAAATCAGAGGCGGGAGAGATGACTCAGGGGTTAGGTTAACAGCACTGGCTATGCTTGCAGAGGACCCAGGTTCGGTTTCCAGCACCCACATGGCAGCTAACCATTGTCTATAATCCCAGTTCTGGGGATCCAACACCCTCTTCTGGCCTCCTCTAGCATTTCATGGTATGGCTGCACTTACATACATGCAGGCAATACATTCATACACATAAAATAAAAATAAATAAATCAAAAGGATTTTTAAAAAGTCACTTGTGGACCGATCATGGTGGCACATGACTGTAATCCTGGTACTCAGGAGGCTAAGGCAAGAGGATCAAAATTCAAGGCCAGTCTGGAATACACAGAGAGACTGTGCCACAAAAATAAATAAATAGCTGAGTGTGGTGGTGCAGACCTTTAATCCTGGCACTCAGGATGCGGGGGCAGGTGAATCTCTGTGAGAGTGAGGCCAACCTGACCTACATAGTGAGTTCCAGGTCAGCTAGGGCTACAGGGAGACCCTGTCTCAAAAAAATTAATTAATTAAATTAAAATAAATTAATTAAAAATACCTTGTGAGCTCATGTTTTCTGTTCTATCAGTATAATTTAAAATTTTAAATTGCTTTTTATTTATTTACTTTATATGCATGTGTGTGGTGTGTGTTTGTGATCCTGTCATAACACACTTGTGGAGGTCAGAGGACAACTTGCAGGAGTTGGTTCTCCCTTCCACCATGTAGGTCCTGGGAACTGAACTCATGTTGTCAGACTTAGTGACAGGTGCTTTTACCTCAGTAGCCATTGCGCAGACCCCCATCATTGGGTATCCACTTTTAACTGTGGTTCCTCTGTTTACTTATCTGATAATAGTCCTTTTCATGATGTTATTGTAAGGACTGAAAAATACATCAAAAGTAGCTAGGGCGGTACCTGGCGCTGTAAGTGCTGAGTAAATACGGATTTTAACTGTGTATAGAAGTATTAACATGTGGAAATGAATAAGTACTTATTTGAATAAGTATGGAACACAAAAGTCCTCTTCCTCCTAGTTTATTTTGGTATGTGCTGTAAACAGTTTGGAATGTCCCTTTGACAACTTTCTGGCTTCACCAGTCTCAGATGACATGACAAATTCGCCTTCACAGAAGGTACAAGTGAGCCAAAACTCAAGGGGTGGGGCATTCTGGAGCCTTCCCTCTTCAGAAAGTGTGATTTCATCCAGATGCATCTGGCTTTCAGTAGAAATGGCCCATGTTCCTCGGGAGTGAGGTGTCTAGACCACTGTTCATCCATATTTCTTGAATAATTTGCTCCCTGCGCTCAATCCTTTCAGCCAGCTCTGCGGCCTCTATGGAACTGTAGGCTGGATATGAAGTCCTACAAAGCCCTGACAGTTCCACGGGAAACTCGGAGTCAGAGGACTCCTCCTCTTCCACTTCCTCCTCACTGTCCTCAGCCTTGTCACTGCCTGGCACCAGGTGCTCCCTCCCCAGCTGCAGCTCCCGGAAGTCCTTGGTACAGGACACTCTGATGACCAGGGCACACAGTGTGAGGGCCAGGCCGATGCAGACGCTAGACACAAACAGCAGGGCAGCTCTCTCGGGATGCGCTGTGGGAAGAAGAGAACATGTCAGGAGTTAAGAGGGTTTATTTTGACTCATGGTTTTAGTGGTTTTCAGGAAAGACATGGCAGCAGGCTTGTGGGGTTGAGCCTATTTCCATCAGAGTAGACCAGGAACCAGGGGTGTCAAATGCCCACCCCCAGCAACCCACTTCTGCCAGCGAGGCTCCACATACTAAAAGTTCTACAGCCTCCTAAAATAACATCATAGCATCGCTAACTAGAGAACAAGCATTCAAAACATGAGCCTGTGGGGGACATTTAGGATTCAAATCCTAACAAGCAGCCACAGACACTATGTAAAGCACAAGGTCTCTGTGTCCCAATAAAACTTTATTTACAGATTTGAGTCATGGGCTATTACTCTTGATGTAGATAGATGCTCAAGTGGAGGCCCAGAGGGGAAGCTGCTGTCTGACACTGGCAGCCTCTCTAGGCAGAGCCAGTACTGAATCCTGGAGCTCTTTGTGGGGTACGCTTTGGTACCCCTAGCATTTTCTCAGCATATCTCTGCTCAGAACCTCCTCCAAGTACTGTCACTCTTCATAACTGCTATCCTTCCCTAGAGGTCCAGACTGGAGTCTCAGAACTCCAGGGCTGTTAGTTTCATGAGAAATGAGGGATCTCAGCTGAGATCTGATGGAGAGATGGAACCAGGACACCTTATCTTGAAAGTGGATACCTCCCTGGCCAGCTTCCTTCCCTGCAGCCCAGTCCTCACTAGAGCAAACACCACACATCTGTCTTGTGCTTTGTTACTGTTGCCCCTGCTGAGACATCTCCTCACTCCCTTTATATCTGAATCAACATTCATTTTTGCTGAGAAAGGAACAGGAGGTTATGTCTGCTGTGCTATTAATACGGTGTGTGTTCTGAAGGGTCAAAAGTATGTAAAGAATTTGCATGGAGACACATGTGCTTTGTGAGAGAGAAGGGCTACTTTCACCTCTCGGAGTGGTGGCAGACACTGGCACTTGGCATGAAGCCACCAAATGGTAACACAGAAAAGATGCCAAGACCAGGGTCATCAGGTCAGACCTCTCCTCCTCCTCCTCCTCTGAATATCAAAGCCCTCTTCCATCTCTCCCAACGTCACTCTCACTTTCTGATAAAGTTTGTATACCGCTTGAGTGTCCTTCACAGTTTCATCGGTTGAAATCGAATCCCTCCTATGAGGTAGTAAGAGGGCAGAGCTTTAAGTCTTTCTCTAGCCACTCCTGTGGGACAGGGCTTGCTCCAGGTAGAAATCATTCTTACATCAAGCTTCTGAGGAACAAGGATCACCCACGGTCCCCTCTTCCACTGTAAAAGCAGTTGTGTAGTGGAGGGCCAGGCGCTCAGGTTCCACAGACTGAGGTCCAAGGTCTGACTCTGCCACAAAATGGATTTACTACTGTAGCTCTTGATTTGTTCTTAAGGATTTGTTGTTTTAGCAGTTGCTGAAGATTGAACTCCAGGATATCATATATGCTGGGCAGGTGCTCTGTCACTGAGTCATACCCCAGTACTGTTTTTATTTACGTATTTATTACTTATTTATTTCTATGTATATGAGTGTTTTGCCCGCGTGTATGTAAGTGCAAACCCATGGAGACCAGAAGAAAGAATTGGAGTTACAGGTGGTTGTGAGCCACCATGTGGGTGCTAGGAACTGAACCTGGGTCCTCTGCAAAAACAGTCAGTGCTCTTAACCGCTGAGCCATTTCTCCAGCCCCTCCCAGGTCTGTTTCTAAGGAGTTAAAATTAATCACAATCCCCAGAATCCACCACATTCTACTTGTTGGCAGTATATTTCCCTCCTTTATATTTACTTTATTGCTTTGTTTGGAGCCAGGGTCTCACACTATAGCACTTGCTGACCTGAAACTCCAGGCTGGTCTTGAACTCACGGTGATCTGCCTGCCTCTGCTTCCTGAGTGCTGGAATTAATGGCCTGCCCCACCACACTGACCCTTATTAATTCCTTTTAATGTACTTGTGCTGTGAATAAGTTCCCTACAATGGGAGAGGTAGAACTTGTGATTCTCCACCCTCACCCCTGCACTGCTACCGTGGGAATTCCATGCTCATTTCTCCCACGTTTGCTTCTACATATTTGTGTGGCTATTACATCCTGATATATCCCTAAATACTTTATTATAAGGATCTATAATGTTACAGATAGTGTCTGCTGGGCTTGGGGTTCTTCCTTTTTAATGTGCTGTGTTATTTTCCAATGTCTGACTGTCACTCTGTTTGTTCATCACTGTCCTGTTAATGGATGCCTGGGTTAATGCCAGGTATCTGCTGCTGGGAACCTTATTGCAGATGCCCCACGTACACAGCTGCAAACGTTTCTCTTGAACACTACTCTAGGTGGTAGCTGGGTGGGCTTTCAGGTGTGAGAGGTTAAAGTTTAGGAAATACTAAGTAGTCTCCAAAGTGGCTGCACTGTGTGAGAAATCCCAGGCATCCTCATCATCTCCAGGACAGACTTTAATTTTTCCTAGTCACATGGTATATAGAACTGTATCTTACGGTGGTCCTCATTTGTAGTTTCCTGATTACAATTCCTGTATCCATCTCTGCCCATATTCTGTCTTCTCAAAATGCTGGGCTGAGTCCTTTGCCTATTGCTTCTTTCTAGCCAGTTGTTTTCAGTTTTCTGCTTTCACATGAAACATTTGCAAGTTTGATATATAGCGACTGTCCTAGTTAGCTTTCGCTGCCAACTTGAATCTGCCTAGAATCACCTAGAGAGTCTCAGCTGAGTAATTGTCTTTATCAGGTCGGTCTGTGGGCATGTCTGTGGGGGATTGTCTTGATTGATAATTGTTATAGGAAGGCCCACCCATTGTGGGCAGCACCCTGCCCTGGACAGGTGGTCCTGGGCTGTATAGGACAGCCAGCTAAGCATCAGCCTGTGAGCAAAGCAGTAAGCATTGTTCCTCCGTGGTTTCTGCTTCAAGCTCCTGTTTGATTTCCTGCCCTGACTTCCCTCAACCAGGGACTGTGACCTGGAATTGTAAGTCAGATAAACCCTTTCTTCCCCGAGATTGCTTTTGGTTAGAGTGTTTTTATCACATGAACAGAGAGGGACCAAGAACAGTGACAGTCCCTGGATGGCATACACACTGTGGCTGTGTCTTGGTGAGTGGCTTACCTTTCTACTTCATTAAGATGGCTGCTAACCTAGTGGATTTGTCTGAAGAAGGCAAGATGATCTGTGCTGCTGTGTTCCATTACCTGCAGATAACCTCTCCCTTTCCCCCCTCTCATCCATTTCCCAACACGGCCACTCTAATCTTTTCAGAAGCATGCATCCTATCACATCACTGTCTATCTTAAAACCTAGAAATGGTCTCTCTCTCCTAAGTTAGAAGTCAAGTCCTGATCACAGTCTGTGAAGCTTGCTATGCCTCAGCCCCATCACCTCCCAGGTTCCACTGTGGAGAGTCTTCCCGTACTCCGTGCTCGGCCCACGCTGGCCTTTCCCTTTCTCGTGTGTCAGACATATATTGGGGTTTTTGCATGTGCTCTGCCTTTAGCCTGTAATGTTCCTTCTGCTTGTTTCATGTAAATCCTTGTGGCCTAGCCTAGGGAAGGAGATGGGGGATGGAGGCACTAGGCTTTGTGCTCTGTGGATGGGGTTCTATGAAGTCATTGTCCCCCTCCCCTCTCCCTCCTCTCCTGGTATTGGAGTCTACTCCTGAGACAGCTTCTTATTCTAAGGCCATAGATGCCTTCTGATTCACAGACACCTCCTGCCACAGACACAGGGCCACTAGGGAAGTCTACACCAACTTTACTGAGATCCAACAGCCAAAGATGGGGAAGATGGGCAGCTCCTAGTGAATGCATGGGAATGAAGCTTCCTGTTCATCTGAAGTGACTGTCACACAGTCACTGGATCGTAGGCAGATGGATGACCCAGCCTAACCCCTACTGTTGCAGCCCAGCCACTTTCCAAAACCACCACTGACTTGGACTCAGGCCAGGGCTCTGCCTACTGCCCCAAGCTCTACACAAAAAAACACTTCCTGTTTTCTAGAACCAAATGGACCACTTCAGGCTTTTGTGAGCCCTTTCCTATCACCTACTCTGACAAAAAAATAAAGGCATTCTTCTTGTGGTGGTAAAATCTTCACACTCTGTTTCTGTGGATGTTGTTCTAAATTTAGCCTCAGCTCTTCACAGGCTAGAGAGAATGATTTTTATCATCTGTGCTATGTTCTTGGGAGCCTCAGAATGGTGGCATTTAGGCCCCATTCCCTCCATAGATCTTGATCTGGGTTCAACATCAGCTCCAGCTCAAATTCATTCATATCCAGTTAAGATACCAGGAGCCACAGGTGAGGGTCCAGCCAGGGTCCCCCCTCCTGGGGCGCTGTGGCTACAGTCCTCCAGGAGGAAGCACAAAGCGCACAAAGCCTGGTCTGACAGCACTTAAAGATGTGATATGAATTTTCTGTCAGAGTTGGAGACTGGGAACACTTCAGAGCTCACACCTAGGTGACAGGCAGTGCTGATCTCTCATCCGCCCCCAGCAGGGGATCCTGTAACTGTGACTTTGGAATGTGTGATAAAACTTCTATTTCACACAAGCTCCTCTGAGTCCTAGGGCTCCTTTCACAGAGACAATGAGGCTGCCCTGGCCCTGCTTTCTTCCCATGGCCCCAGATAACCAACTGAAGTCCTCAGCAGGGTTAGCCTGAGGGCTGAAGACACACACTTGGCACAATCCCAACTAACAAGGGCATGGATGTTAATGGAAATACTGAGTCCCAAAAGGCAGGCAGATGAGGTAAGCACACAAAGCCAGATGCCAATAAGACACTAATTTGGTGGCCTGGAAGGGTCCTGTTATTTATGTAGAGAGCAAGACTCTCTAAATAAAGAAGTCCCCTCCAGCACAATCTGCCAGGGGACAATGGCTCCAGCTGAGGCAGATACTAAACTACCTTCCCCAGATACATACCCAAACCATACACATATAACACCCCATCACATACCCCCACACACTATACATACCATAAACACAACATATACTATACACACACACACACATCAGACTTACCACACATATCATAGATACCACACACACAAAATACACAACACATACATACTATATCCACATATAACATATACCATACACACTATCCACACATCATACACATACCACACATGCTTCGTAGCACATACCACAGACACATACAAACATGCACACACACGCACACACACAAACATGCACACACAAGCACACACACCCTTCCCCTGCCACTCATCTAACTTCAGCATTGTTCTGTTTGGAAAGTCCCTCACAGATGACTCAAAATGACCAGAGGCAACACTATTCTTTGGGGACCCTTGAACATTCTCATGTTCGCCAACCTCTGAGTTTCCTTAATCCAAGATAAGCCCCTCAGGTTTGGTGCCTGTCTGCTTGTCCCGTCTATTTGACTGCTTTAATGTGTCAAAGCTACTTGTGGCCGGATGTCCACACACAAGACTTTTTCTTGAATTTCAAATCCAGGCATGGCTCACTGAGATGAATTTACTAACACATCTCTGTGACCAAATTAGTATAGGCCTCAAAATATAGCTGTTAAACATCCAAGAAGGTTAGTTCCACCAGTCTCATACTTTTAATTACCAGGTACTATGTAGATAAAGCTCGGGTTCTCAATAAAATAAAATAACATCCCATCTGGTCCTCATGTTCAAAAGTCTCCATAGGCTGGAGAGATGGCTCAGCAGCTCCCAGAACCCACCTGGCAGTTCACAATCATCCCAAACTCCAGTTCCAGGGCATACAACACCCTCTTCTGGCCTCCATGGGATTTGCACACACATGATGCCCTTAACATACATGCAGCAAAACACTCATACACATAATAAATGAATATTCTTAAAGTATCTATAGGGTCAGAGAGATGGCTCAGTGGTTAAAGAAGTTTGCTATATAAACCTGACAACTTGAGTTTGAACCCCAGAACCCATGTAAAAGGTGGAAGGAGAGAACTGACTCCATAATGTTGTCTTCTGACCCTACATGTATGGAATGGCATGCATGAACCCCCCCCCACATCATATACATACAGAATAATTTTTAAAAATTATGTGTATGTGTGCATATCTGTGCGAGGGTATGCCACACGTGTGCTGGTGTTCACATAGGCAAGAAGGGAGAGTTATATTCCCTGGATCTGGAGTCACAGGTGGTGGTGAGTTGCCTCTCATGGATGCAGGGGACAGAACCTGAGTCCTTTGCAAGCACAGCAAACTCTCTTAACTGCTGAGCCATCTCTCCAGCCTGATAAATAAAGACTGTAAGTATCTATAAATAGAAGATTATAGATGATAATATGGCACAAGATCATCATAATGTCAGCTCAGGATTCATCATTTGGCAATTTGTGAACTACTCACTGGGTCCTGGTTCATGCCATAACTGTCCTAGAAGTGCCTGCCGATGAGGACCTTAGTCTCTTAGTGCTTGGACTGACACTGGGCAAACAAACACTTCCATCCTGGTGTGTAGCAGGATAAGCATATGAAAGGACAGACCAGGATGGAGAAAAGGTAACTTACAGGACCCAGGCTCAGGAGGTTTCTGCCCTCCAAATCTTGAAAGGCAAACATCATGCTCAGGAGAAAGGTGAGAGCCTTGTCCAGAGCTGTGAAGCCAGACCCAGGCGCTGTCCATGGTGCTCTTGGCAAATAGCCCTACTCCTCTAACCCTCAGTTTCTATAAGTGCAGAATGGGGGATCAGAACCCCATCCCTCAGAGTTGTTGTATGGACTGATTGTGTCCCCCTCAAATTCATGTGTTGAATCTCTAAACCCCCTATACAACTTTTAGGGGCTTCCTAGAGCTGATTTGTGAACTACTCACTGGATCCTGGTTCATGCCATAACCAGGGAGGGCAGTTGCGAGGGGGAATGCATCTGACAGAACATGGAAGTTTTAGGAGATGAGCCCCCTCCTCTTTCTCTGTCTCTTTCCATCCTCCACCCCATTATATAAGTTACAAGAAGCAGGTGTCTGTCTATAAGGCAGGAGATACCTCACTAGAAGCCCAATCACAGCCCCTTGATCACGGACTTCCAGCCTCCAGAACTGTGAGGAAATAGACAGTTGCTTAAGCCCTGATCTATGGTATTTTGTTGTGGCAGCTCAGCTGACCAGGCAACTGAAAAGAAAGGAAGAGACCCGGTAACAGAGCCCCGACCAGCTGTCAGCAACCCTGCTGCCCTTACTTTATCCTTGATCTGAAGGCACTTTGAAACTATGGAAATACAATGACAACAAAAATCTTTACATTCCTTAACCTTCACTGTTATCAGGAACAACAAGACGTGAAAATGGTGTGGCGGGGGGAGGTTCTAAGAAAGAAGCCAATGACCCTGCACCATATGACAAACCTGCAGGATTTGAGAGAAAATGATGGTGTCGCAGAGTGGCAGAGCCAGACTCCCCATCTTCTGTATTAAGATGTTGCTCTGAGCCTCTATTTCCCTCTGAGGAAGCTTTATCCCATATAACCTCAGCTCAGGCAGGCCTTGAATAATAATAATACTCTTATGCATCATATTACTTCCTGTGCTGAGGAGCTTCAGTTGTCAACCTGACACATCTGGGAAAAAGGACCCTTAACTGAGCACTGCTTCCATTGGACCGACCTGTGGCCATGTCTGTGAGGCATCTTCTTAATTGCTAATTGGTGTGGGTACAAGTCCACTGTGGGTGGTACCATCCTTGGACAGGTGGTCCTAGGTTGTATAAGAAAGCAGGCCAAGCACAGGCCAGAGGAGCAAGTCAGTAAGCAGCACTCCTCCATGGTCAGTGCTTCAGTTCCTGCCTCCAGATTCCTGCCCTGAGTCCTTCCCTTGGCTTTCTTCAAGGATGGAAATGATGTGGAAGTTATAAGGCAAAAAACCCTTTTCTTCTCCAATTTGCTTTTGGTCAGTGTTTTGTCACCGCAATAGAAATTAACTAGGACATTGTGTGTGCTACTGAAGGTCACAGAGGTCCTGGCTTCTGTATGGTTTTGATAAGTGTTCCCCTAAAATCCTTGCATAAAGGTTTGGTTACCAGAGCGGTGGCTTTGAGGGCTACTGACGACTTTTAAGGGTGGGGTCTAGGAGAGGTCTTTATGTCACTAGAGCATGCCATCAAAGGGGTTCATAGGACCCTGATCTCTTCCTCTCTCTCCCTCTGCTCTGGTTTAAGATGTATCTTGCTCATGATATACCCACTCTCACCACAGTGCCAAAAATGATGGGGCCACTGGACCTTGAATTGAACCTCCAGAACCATAAGCCAAAATATGCCTTTCTTTCCTTCCTAAGTAACCTGTGTCAAGTATGACGCGATGGTGATAGAAAGCTGAGCAGCACAGCCTCCCTGAGCTGGACACCAGCCAGTATGGGAATTCACAGTCAGCATTCCAAGGTGTGGTCTATCTTAAGATCTGCAGGAGAGTGGCAAGGACAGCATGAATTCCTCCACAGAGAGGACCACACATGGCCAAGCCTGGTGCAAGCCTTCAGCCCTGCCCATTCAGGAGTGTGAGTCTCATTGGTCCTTGTGGGAAAGTTTGGCTACCCCAGTGCCTCTCAGGACTCCAGAGGTAACTTCCCATGGCATAACCTGTTTTGTTAACTATGTCATCAGATTTTTTTCTTCCAGCTGGGGACAGAATTCAATAATCCCATACCTTTCCCAGCTTGCAAACCTGGGAAATGCATTCCTGTTTTTCAAGGGGGAAAAATACCTCTGAAGCCCAAGCCCTCAGTAACACAGCTGTCATCAGGTTCCTGTGCTGGTTGCCTGGTTGCAGCAGTACTTGAAGTCCAGCCTCCGTGATTCTGGATATTACAATACTGCAGTTGCCAGGTTCAACTAAAAGCTACTTTCCTTTTTATCTGAGTGTTGTAACTGAACAACTGAATGGCACATTTGTCAATGTGGCTTTAGTAAACCCTTCTGTATTCCCAGAAGCTCCAGGTCATTGACCTACCTCTAATGTACGCAAACGTGGCCAGAGAGTTGCTAATGATAACTCCGTCTTTCCGCACAACCCTCGATTCACTTGGGTCAGAGTTTATACCTATAAAATACAAAAGCCACTGATCAAAACTGTTCAGAGCATGCCCAGCCTGGGAGCCCTGCTGTCCCTCATCCAGGTCTGCCATAAGGATTAAAAGTCAGAGACATCAAACAGATGGGACTTCTGACAAAATTATGGAAGAACTAAGGACACTTAGTAAGTGTTGAGGTTTGAATGTGAAGTGCTCATGTTTGGATACTTGGTCCCCAGCTGGTGGTGCAGTTTGGGAAGACTGTGGAACCTGTGGAAGGTGGAGCTCCACTAGAGGAAGTGGGACACTGTAGAATGGGCACTGAGGCTTTGTAGCCTGGTTCCGCTTCCTGTCTGTTCTGCCCCCTGACTGTATCACACTCTGCTGCCTGGCTTCCCCACCATGATGGACTAAAACCAAGCTCCAAACTAATCCTTCCTTCTTTAAGTTGCTTTGTGAGGTATTTTATTCCAGCAATGAGAACAAAAGCTAAAACGGAAGCCATCTTCGACAATATTGAATGATTAAAGGATTTGAAATTTTTTGAAAGGTGAGCTTCAACTTCAGGTGTGACTCCTCCCACAGACAATGACATCAGGTCTCTTGGAGGCTAAGTAAATAATGCCTCATTTTCCCCATGGAACTGCTGTCTGCTCTGTGGACCAGATTATGACAAGCCTTGGATTATGGAGAGAGGTTGTGGAAGGCTGCTTTGTTCAGTATGATAGAAAAATGTGTAGCTGGTCTGCTTTCAGTTGCTAGGGACCTGAATGGATGGACACTTAGCAAGTGCTGCTGGGTCAGTCTGGGGACTTGGGGACCCCTGGGAATACCACACAGGGGAGATGCCTCTGAGAAAAATGGCATGGAAACTCTTGGGGCTCCACTGAAGCAGGGACAGGGACACTCAGGGATCAGGTAGGATCCATGTGAAGGGAGCCAAGATGCAGAGCTTGGCAGATAGTGTGGTGGTGAACTTGAGCACAGAGTTTTCAGGAGTTTCCTCTAGGCTTTGGTGATTGCTGTCTTGGTGTGGTGTTTTCTATACCAAGAAGAATGCATGAGAGCAAAGCATAGAATCAGTCCTCTGTGTCAAAGAGGTCCATGCCCAAGGGTTCAACCATGCATAGCTAAAAAATAGAAGAAACTGGAACATGTAGATTCCTTTCTTTTCTTTATTCCCTAAACAATATAGCACAACACCGGTTTACGAAGTCTTGACACTTTATTATAGGGACTGTAAATCTAGAGATAAAATGTATAGGAAGATTATGTAGGTCCCATGAAAATACTGAACTATTTTTTTTTTTGTCTTTTTGAAGCAGGGTCTCCCTGTAGCCCCAGCTGTCCTGGAACTCACTATGTAGACCAGGCTGGCCTCGAACTCACAGAGATCTGCCTGCCTCTGCCTCCCAAGTGCTGGGACTATAGGTGTGCACCACCACACCTGGCTAATACTGAACTATTTTAAAAAATATTTTTATTTTATGTATATAAGGGTATTGCCTGCATGTATGTAAGTGCACCCATGTCATATAGTGCCCTCAGAGGCCAGAAAGGGTGTTGGATTCCCTGGAACTGGAGTTATGGACAGTTGTTAGCTACCATGTGGGTCCTGGGAACTGAACCCGCATCCTCTGCAAGAGCAGCCAGTGCTCTTAACCGCTGAGCCATCTCTTCAGCCCCAGTTCTGAGCCATTTTATTTCAGGAGCTTGTTCATCTGTTGATTTGGTATGCATGGCAGGGTTCTAGAATCTTCAGGGATACAGAAGGATATCTGTACTTTACATTTATAATTGGGAAAATAACCTAATAAATAGGATAAAAATAACACAGAACAAAAACCCAAAGCTAACATATAATCTACAGAGTCTCTGCAGTTTCTATCAGGAACTCATGGACTGAATTTTCTCTGTATTTGATAATAAAATGAAAATTGTCAGGCCCGCATGACACTTCTGCTGGTAAAGAAACTTGTTACTAAGCCTGAGTTTTTATCTTCAGAACCCACACGATGGAAGGAGAGTGATTCCCAAAAGTTGTTCTTAAGGCTGGTGATGACACTTCTCCATTTTAAATCAAACAGGGGGAGATGTTGGGGAACCCTGCTGTTAGGGTTGCAGATCTCCATGTCCGGATAGCCCTGAGGGGCTCGGCGCCAAATGGAAGAACTCCCCTTTTCAGCAGGGGGCCTCCTGCTCTCTTCCTGGCTCACCTTGAAAGTGCCGCTGAAAGTGCCGCCAAACACAGATGCCTTATCTGAAACATGACCTCTGGCATAGAAACTACCAGGTTTTTTCTATATGATAATCAGGCATTGCCTGATAATCTGGAAGATAGAAGCCCACTGCCACATGTAAATAAAGCATACTATGAGCACCTATCAACTGAGGCTTTTGCTACTGCCTCCACACTATAAATTCTCTAGTTTTCCCACTAATAAACAGAGCTGTTTTCACTGTGCCTGGAGCTGTGTCATTGTTGTTTCACTGCACCTGGGATCAGTCTCCCCGGAAGGGCTGTCTTCTGTCAGCGCTCACTGGCCATCCTGACCCCGTTCGCCGCTTCTGCTTTCCCTGCCCTCATGGGCCGGTGGCCAACGACCCGCGAAGAAAGGGAGAGCCTCCCGCAGCTGGCCCGAGCCGCCCCGCAAAGAAACTTGTTACTAAGCCTGAGTTTTATCTTCAGAACCCACACGATGGAAGGAGAGTGATTCCCAAAAGTTGTTCTCTGACCTCCACATGCGTGCCATGGCATGTGTGTACACACTGACCCACTCACACAGACACAAATAAATAAATAATTTTTACATATTTATTTTAAAAAGAAAGCCAAAATATCCATCCCCCTATTTGATGTTTGGCAACCCATTTGTAGCAAGCAGATTATGGCAAGAGAATGTGCAGTTTCAGTGGTGTAGTGGGAAATGATGTTTAATTTAAAATGTTTATACTACAAAAAATAAATGAATAAAAATAGAATTTTGAAAACTAAAATATTAAAAGTTAGGTGAGAACTATAAGAATGAAATGGCCCACACCCAGGCTGCAAGGTCAGTTGGATCTGGCCTCAGGCTCCCAACATGGACAGCTTTGCAACAAACTCACTCTAGCACCAGGAGCCCAATTTGTTTCTGAGGTGATCTCTTGTTCAGAGTGACTTTTTTATTTTTAAGAAGAATGGAGAATGGAAGAGAACAGAGGAGAAATTTTTTTTTAGTTTAAAAAGCAAAACATTGGTTGCCATATGCAACTATTAGTCCCAGCCCTCTCTATCAGAATAGTCGGCCTCGGCATCCTGGCACCTCCTTTCATCTTGGCAGTGTGTGCCTGACTCTGTCACCTAGCTGTTTACCTTTACTTAAAGAGAAGTGCTGGGAGTAAACCATAAAAATTACCATACTCACCTGCTTTCTTCAAAGGAGGGCTTAGATTAGCAACAGCTGGATCAATCGCTGTGAGTATGTTCTTGGGAACTAAAAACCAAAAAGAGATATTTTAAATACTTGGTATATTAAAAGCATTTTTACATTTAACATAGGTAGATAACAATTTACAAAATACTCTTGAGATCACTGACTACCTGTCAGATACACAACACACACACACACACACACACACACACACAAATCATACATGTGAGATCGTTAAATGTCTAAGAAAGGTGAAATCATATTCCTATAATTTCAGTATTTTTTTTAAAGTATCTGGGGCTGGAAGAATGGCTCAGCAGTTAAGAACACGTGCTGCTCTTGCAGAGGACCTGAGTTCAGTTCCCAGCACCCACATCAGGCAGCTTACAACCACCTGTAACTCCAGCTCCAGGATCTGACACCCTTTTCTGGCCCTCACAGACACCTGCAATAATGTACATGTACACACACACACACACACACACACACACACACACACACACTTAAAAACAAATCTTAGAAATCAGGAGGCTAAGACAGGGCTGCAAGTTTAAAGCTAGCTTCGGCTACATAGCAAGACCTTATCTCAAACAAAACACAAGAGGAAAATAAACTAATTGATACATCTATCTAATGGAATATGGCAGTAATAAAAAGACTATAAAGGAGACTTTCAAAACATCAGGCTTCATGGGAGAAGCCAGTGACAAAATCTTGCTATTGCATAATTCCATTTATATACACTGTCTAGAAAAGGTAAATCTAGAGTCAGAAACTGATTAGTGGTTCCTTATGACCAGGGGTGGGAATGGAGCATGACAAACTTTGAGGCTCATGAAAATGTGGGATGGTTGCATGACTGTGAATTTACTGGAATTCATTGAGTTGTCTCATGCATAATCAGTGAGCATCAAGGTTTGTAGAAATGCCTGTTAACTCTGATCTGAACTCCTCCAAGACACAGCAAAGCAAAATGGCCAATCAGGAGCTGCTCTGACCTCTCCTCTGTGTACTCTGCTTTTTCCCTGAACTCTTTATCTCCCTAAATCCACCATAAATCTAGAGAATTATAGGAATCTGTACTAACACAATTTACTAAATATAAGAAAGAACAACTGGTAAGAAGGAAGCAGTGACAGACTTTTCTGGAAGGTGGCTATAGGTTCTGCTATACTGACCCGAGTATAAACTGTCAGGACCCCAGGGCAAAGCAGCCCACAGATTACAGCTGAGAGCAGCTAGGGCAGACAGCCAAAGGCTGAGGATATAGCTCAGAAGGTAGAGTGCATGCTTAGCATGTATAAAATCCTGGATTAGATCCCCAGCACTGCTAGGGGGAGATGGTACTGAACACCTGTAATCCCAGCACTGGGGAGGTGGAGGCAGGAGGATCAGAAGTTCAAGGTCATCCTTGGCTATACAGGGAATTCAAGGTCAGCCTAGGCTACATGAGATCATGTCTCAGAGAGAGAGAGACTGAGAGACAGAGAGACAGAAAGAGACAGAGAGACAGAGACACACAAACACAGAGACAGAGAGAGAGACAGAGTGAGAGAGACAGAAACAAGTGAGAGTTATAAAGGCAAAACAGTGTTGCAGACTGGGAGAAGGGAGAGGAAGCCCAGTATGCTAGTTGCAGAAGATGACTTATTTTCATTTGTCCCTCAGCTGGCCTGGTATCTGTGAGAACAACAGGAAGTAGAAGGGAAGCCAACTCAAACTAGGCACGTTCCACAGCCCTGCTTTACAGAAACACTGTAATGCATCTCTGGCTATGAGAAAACCTTGCTTCTTTTCCCTGAGTGCTGAACTCAATTCTTTTGCAGCAATCCCAGGACCAACAAAGACCATCCCTAGGGGCTGGAGAGGTGGCTCAGCAGTTAAGAACACTGGTTATTCTTACAGAGACCCGGGTTTGAATCCAGCACCCACATGGCAGCTAACAACTGTTTGTAACTCCAGTCCCAGGGGATCCGACAGCCTCTTCTGACGCCTGTAGGCACTGTATAACACGGGTGCACTTACCTACATGCAGGCAATACACGCATACAAATAAAATAAAAAACAAATAAAATTTTTTTAAAAGTTAAAAATAAGACCATTCCTAAATTGTGAATTTTTCATGCCTATTAGCAATGAGGGCAGCTTTCAGGAGAGGCATAGCCAAGGTGCTGTGAGGGATGCTTTGGGCCAGCTATAGGGCACACCACTGATCCCAGGAGCACAGCAGCACCAGGAAAAGTGTTTTCTAATTCAATAACCTTTCACTCATTTCTGGCTTTCAGGAATGTTGTCCCCAATTCCCTGGCAGCAGTAAGCCCTGGACGTGCCATCTCTCATGTCTGTCTCTTGGCTCATTCTCAAAATATCATCCAAGGAGGCTTCTGGTTCTCTGTGAATAACAGGCTTTATAGGTTCAAAATTGTAGAGAGGATATCAGAGAAGAGGGGCATTCTGGGATGAGCTCTGTCAAACAACCAGACACCCAAAAGATCCTATTGTTGTACATGACACAGGTCACTGTGAGAAGCCTGTCCGTTTGGTACGTGAAAATGGTACAAGCTTGTAATTCCAGCACTCAGGAGGTACAGACAGAAAGATCAAAAGTTTAAAGTCATCTTTAACTACATAGTAAGTTCAAGGCCAGCCTGGGCTACAAGACTTTGTCTTAGACAAAGCAAAACAAAACACAGCCAGGTATGGTGGCACATGCCTTTAATACAAGCACTAGGGAGGCAGAGGCAGGCAGATCTCTGTAAGTTCAAGGCCAGCCTGGTCTACACAGTGACCAGGCCAACTAGGGCTACACAGTAAGACCCTCTCTTAAACAAAACAAAACAAAAAAGTAAAACAAAATATAACAGGTTGTGAATACACCTGTCAAACTCTTCAAACTGGTCCAGAATGGAGCATGATTTATTATTCCCCTTTAAAACTGCTCTTCTCTACTTTACAAGCATTCATAAAAATATGAGCAAAGCATTCTTCACAGAGCTCCTAATATGCACTGGACCCTGCTCTGAGTACCTTGTCCTTCTAGTGGGCTGGTGTGATAGCTAGTGTTAAAATGTCAACTTGCCATAATCTAGAATCGTGGGGAAGAGAATCTCAACTGGGGAATAAGCTAGATCATATTGGCCTCTGGGCATATCTGTGGGGGTTATCTTGATTGTTAATGGCTACAAGAGGGTCCAACCCACTGTGGGTACCGCCATTCCCTAAGCAGGTGGTCCTGAACTGTGTAAGAAAGCTAGCTGAATACAAGCTGGCCTGACAGGCAGCTTCAAGCATCTTCCTCCATGGTTCCTGCTGTACTTCTTTGGCTACGAAGTGAGTTCCTTGGTTGGAGGTAATGCTGTGTGGAATAACAAGCAGGCCTGCCTTCAAGAATTCCTACCTTGACTCCTTTAATGATGGACTATGATCTGGAATTGTAAGATGAGATGAAACTTTTCTTCCCCTATGTTGCTTTTGGTCAGGATGTCATATCACAGCAGTAGAAATGACATGAAAACCGCTGGTAAAGATGTGTATCATCCCCTTTCTGCAGAAGCTCAGAGATGTGCCAAGGCCTTGTGCCAATGCCTAGAAAGATACAATGCCCTTGTGCCCTTTTCATGATGCTAGGCTGTCCCTGGCCTTTGGGATCCAGCTTATGTTAAAGGATTATAAAAGTGACAAGGTGACACCCACTTAAGTCCCTCATGGATCTGTGTGGCTGGGTTCCAAATGGGCTTGAACAGTGTGTTAAATTTGGGCACAACCCTCACCTGATTCATTGACTGATTGGCCAAACAAATCTATAGCAGGTCTGGGTCAGTGCAGATGTTAAAAGAGATTGGGTTAAGGCTTTAAGGTAGATTTCATATTAGATAATCAATTGCTCTCTGGGTAACTGTTCCCCTGCTCAGTATGTCCCCAGAGAGTTTGAGTACCTCTCAGCCCTGTACACTGTCACCTCATCCTTTAGCAGAAGCTGTGGAGCCCTGAGAAATTGTGAAGCTAGGGACACTGGCTGTGCCTTTGTGTTGGTGACCCTGGAGGACTGAGGACTGGGGCTGTGTACATGCGGAGGAGGACCCCTGCAGAGGACTGAAGGGCTAGCTGTGGTCAGTAGGTCTACCTTCCCCTGTGAGGAGATTCATCAGCTACTTTTTTCATTGCTATGACAAATACCTGACAAAAGCAACTTACGGAAGAGCCGGTTTATTTTGGCTCACTGTGAGAGTAGTCCCATGGTAGGGAAGGCATGGTAGCCAGACTCTAAAGTGGCTGGTCACATTGCATCCACAGTCAGGAAGCAGAGAGAGAGGAGTGCTGGTGCTCAGCTCTTTTTATTTTGTTGAGGACCAAGCCCATGTAAGGGTGCCACCCACATCCAGGGTGGGTCTTCCCTGTTCAGTTAAAATTCTTTGGAAACATCCTTACAGATACATCCAGAGGTGAGACCTAGGTGATTACAAATTGAGTCAAACGGACAGTGAAGACTGTCACAAGAGGAGAGCCTCAAATTCAGCCCAACTTTCCCCAACTTTAACAAATGGTAAAAGCAGAGTGTGAGTGTCTTCTTTATCAGCACATTAAAGATGAGGCCTTGAAGGACACATCTCCAAACATAACAAATGACCACACACTCTGGTCATGATTCCAAGTGCCTTAACATCAGCTACAAGACATGCTGCCTACAGTTGAAAATGCAATGTGCATCACAACCCCAATCACTCCCTAGACACATACAATGATGCTGGACCCACCACCACCCAGCCTAAGTGTGTGTGATGTGAGAGAAGAAATACAGCCATGTTGGAATGATGCTATATCAAATCCAGGGGAGAGCACTTTTTAAAGCACATTGATTATGTCCCAACAATACCTTTCCATGGCTCCCCACTGCCTGAATACAAGCTAAGCCCTACCTGTTAGTCCCTCAAGGCCCCTCCTTTTCTAGGCTAGAACTCACCTCCCAGCCTTTGCTGATGCTGTGCCTTCTGCCTGCCCTTCCCTCCCTCCACGTTCACTTTGCTGAATCCCTCCCATCTCATCTACTGGGAAGCCCTCCTGAT